GCCCTTCTCCCGGCAGACGAGCAGGCTGCCGGCCCAGCCGATCCACAAGTCGAAGAGCGTGAAGAGCATCTCAGTGTTGATGTCGTTCCCCTGGATGCCGTGGTTGCCGATGATGCTGTCGGACTGCCCGTGGCCGGCTCGGGGGAAGACCCCAGCCCGGTTGAGTTTGAAGCTGATGCGCCTTCCGATCCAGCTGACCTCCCGTCATCTGTGGCTGCCTCTGCGCTGGATGCCGACAGCCCACTCGTTGATCAACTTGACCCACACACACCTGGACATCAAGGCGATGGATTGGATCATTCACATGCACGTCCTGTGGACCCGCCCCCTTCACAGGATGACTCAGCTTCGGCTATCCCACCTTCCCATTCATCCAATCGTCGTCAGCCATCTGCCACCCCATCGCCCCTGGACTTGAACGATGATGTGTACATGGAGATTGAGAAGCCACCCATCCGTGAGATCATCCGCCACACCCGCACCGCCTCTCATGCTCGGTATTACGTGCGTCGTGAGGGTCGTTTGCCCGCCTGGGAAAATGAGAGCGAGCTGTCTGACCAAGATGCCCTCCGAGCGTACGAGACCGGGATGGTCTTCAATGACAAGCGTCAGAAGAGGGCAAGGCGGGCCATCACGGCTGCTCCACGATACATGCAGCTCCGCTCTCGCAAGGGACGCCGACCGACCTGAACAGTCACCATACGGCTATTTGTCATCAGCCAGCGAGCCATCTGTGGCAGTGTGTGTCATATGGGTACCGTGATGTGTTGTGTCTGGCCGTTGGTGACGACCCGTTCGATCTCTGTCGCGCTCAATCTCCGTCGTCCTCGATCCCCTTCGTCCTCGATGTGCCAGTTCGATGCCTATGGGATGCAGGGTGGACACGTCGACATGTTTGGATGTTCGCTTCCCTGGATGTTGCCATCTGATACTCACCGCTCTGATGTCTTGACGCGTATCTCTTCGTTCTCGTTGGCAACCAGCACTTCTCGCGACACCTGGAGTG